AACCGTTCAAGTAAAGGATTCGGTTCACTATTAAACAAATAATAAAACTTATCTCTAACGTTTCTCGATAAATGTCAGATCCTAGCGCTGGAACCATACAGTGTTGAGGTGCACTATAAGATGCCAGAGAAAATTAGAGTTTAGATGTTGTAAGGTGTTGGCCAGGCCAGGAGAAGTCTTGGTCATTGAGATCTTCCTAGGATTGCTAAACGAAAAAAACGATAGTACATTTGTAAATACTAAAGAAAGTCCTATTAGAAAAAAGAAAGTCTCGCCTGGCACTCAGCGTGACTCTCTTCTTTCTAATAGGGGTTCCCTCACGGCATTTCACTTACATGGTTTCCTCAGGCAAGAAAGGAGTCGCTGGCAAAACACATTAATTTTGGACCGTACTTCGGATAAAATAACAAATGATCAGTAATTATATTACATAATAATAAGACCTTTTAAAAACAGTGTTAAGTTCGATTGGTATTCACGGTTTAGAATAGCGCAGTATACATATGCCCGAGAAATTGATCGCGTAACACCGAGTGCTTGCGCAATGAAGCGCATGCCTCGTACAAAATACAGTGCAATTTATAAATGAAAAATTTAAGCCACATTATTTGTATTGACAACACCATCCTATCTGTTCCCAATTAGTTAAATAAAATACTAATTCCTTTACTTTTATTTGACCTCTTTCTTCACAGTCAATATAGTAGTGTATAGGAACAATATCTACAGTCAGTAACGTACCCCAGGAACACTGTTTTGCAGCTCTTTTTGTTAGGAGTAAACCTTATTCTAGTTAGTGACGCCATACATCACGTAACAAATGTGGTTAAATAAAAAAAAAACAGGTTTTAGCCAAGGATAATGAGGTTTTGCCTACAAAATACTCAAAACCGGGCGTAATTCCAGATACTTCGTCTCACGCTGGAAGTAGACAGTCTGAAGCAATGCTTAAAAAGACACTCTATTGAACATTCTATTTAGCGAAGTAGTTGCGAAACAGATTTATGTACATAGTTCCCAGACAATTTTACAGTTTAGCCAAGTATAACCAGTTAGAAACGCACTCCAAGCAATAACATCTATAGATGTTATAGATTAACGCGAAATCAGATTTTTTTCTCATATATTTAATAAAAAAAAAACATCTTTTACCATTCAACCTACCCATTTAAAATGTGTTTATTACAGAAGCTATTCCTAAACTAATGACTGATGCTCAAGAATGTGTTGCTTTTTGCTTAATTAAAAGCCATTCCCATGTACTCAGGTCTAATTTTCTATTTAACAATCGCCGTAGATCCAAACACCGTCTGTTTTACTGGCGCATGTTAGAATCGCACGATATTTCGCATTCTACTGCATTAACATTTATGTGAACCTACTATTTAGTGCGGTTCAACACTTGAGTGCCTGAGTTCACCCCAACGACGTTGGGGACGATTGGACCCTGGGGTTGAGCTGAACCACGACAGTAGGTTGTACTGTCACAGGAGTTCGATAGCAGCGAGCTCATGTCGCTTGATGTTAAATAGTATTTCCGTACCGGCCTCTGTATAACGCTGAAACACAATCGATAAAACCGATGATCTTTTTCCGCCGGCCATTCGACGTCTGTTCCTGCCGAAAAAAGAAGATGTGACTGGGGTTAAAAGTGGGGTTGCACGGTACGACGTGCATAGGGCGATGAGAAATTCTCTTTGACGTAATTCGAGCTAACGGACTGTGCAGGTGCCTTGCAGATCTCAAAGCGACTGCGCTAGTTAATTTTCGCCCGACGCAGCTGCGCTACAACGACTGATGGTCGAGGATGTGCTATGTTCAGAAATATATAATCATATTTAGAAATATATAAGTCATCGCGGTCTTGTTACGACGCCAAGCGTCAATCAAACATAAACACCCTAATTAGATTAACAAAACAGACGATTTATCAATCGTATCTTTCCTATACTACGAGGTAAGATATAATCAAAATGCTGGGGAATCACCATCGAATCACTGTTGCAACGCAGCAAGCGTCGGCTGCAAACCGGCTCGTTGAAGGCCTGGATGCCTTAGACGCTCTAGGATCCAACTTTGGACGCCCTGAAGCACCTAGTTGTTAGGGGCCTGCTGAGGCCGAAAGAAACGTCTCCTGAAACGCTATCAACATGGGGTGATAATGGGAAGGCATACATGAGGGCTATTCAACTACAAGACCGGTAAAGCATACCGTACAACTCTCTCAGTGCTTTTCAAGAGCCCCACATCGCGAGATATCTCAGACACTGGGCCTAAACTGAAAATATCTTTGTTTCTTTATGATAAAATTTGGGTTAATCGTGCTAATTATGAAAAGACCGAACTAACAGGGTAAAGATGGTAAACAGTGCTGTAAACCTTCCTTGTGTTCAAAAACCTTTATTTAGTATTTGACATGTAAGGTTATAGTTAATTCGAAACACATCGAACATTTCACACTTGACCCCATTCAGATTGGCAACGATTCCACGAAGGTATTTTTAGGGAGTAGCGACAACCTAACCTAAGGCATACGCAGCTGATTACATATACTAAACTTTAATACCATACATATATACTTAATTATTTGTTGCATTTGAAACAACAAATAATTTTTATTAATAAAACGAAGCACTATATATAGACATATACATGTATGTATGCTATGTACTATGCGCTTTGCCGCTCGTAATAGTCCGGACCTTTGTCGGATTACACACAATGATGAGCGAAATTATTTAAACAATTAAATATTATGAAAACAGGGAATACACTTCCCCAAACCTTATCTTTTCTCTCCAATGGCCTCCAATTTACCCAGGTCTAATGGAGGCTGTTTATCTGCGGAGAAGGTCATCAGCTTCAGATACAGTTGCTAGGTACGGGTAACAGGCTCGAATGTAATAGGCTGTTATGCCGCTGGGAATGTCAGTGTCACCAGTCATAAGAGAAGTTAAAAGATTTGAAAAATAGCGCATGTCGCTCAGATCTATATTAGGACGCTGCGCTTCAAATTAACAGAAAAAAAAAATAAAAATATATGCACAAATATTTTGCTACCAGGATCAAATCATCCATTTGGCTTGATTGAACCATCACCGGGCTTGATTTCTCACGAGAAACGAAGTTCATCGGCCGTTTCGAATAACAGTGAAATACCCTTTCAGAGAGTATTTCTAACATACTAGATCGAGCCTCCCGTTGCCATCATCATTAGATAGATCTACGTAGGTGTTATTATTTCGATTATTCGATAGACCAAGCCACGATTACTGATTGAAGCACCGTATTCGCTAATCCAAAGAGTACCCAAATTCGACTTTTGGATTTTTTTTTTTTCTTTGTTTTTTACAGAAGTGTGACTAAATGTGTTCAGTTGCATTAGCTTAGCAAAGTAATAAACTCTGCGAGGAACTGAAACAATCTTCCGCGGTCTAACAGGCGATATATAAAGTGCCTTAGAACACACTAAAGCGATTTTGTTCTCGCGAAAAACGTACAAACCAGGATACGGTCTAGCCGCAAAAGATTGACTCACAGATGCCTGTTTCTTGTAAACAAAGTTGGAAGGTACTTTTCGAGGTCGTAAACGTTTCGAAAAACATACACTTACTTACTTTCCCTGAGGATTTTTCGGGTTCCCAGAGAGGCTGTGCGCTTCTGAAATGGCTGTTCGCCGACGTATTGGGATTTCTAACTGACACAGGATAAGTGCATTACTTACCAGGTCTGGTTTATCTGTAACCAGATCCCTTTTCATTTGTTCATGTGTATGATAAGAATTTTTTACTTCGAAATCTGCCTCGTACGTGGCCGTTTGGCTGGAGCCAGCTAGTCAGAGTTGTTTCGAAATAAGTCCACGTACTGCGAATTTCTCCGCTAGGTAGTTGTGTTAGTCGAGGCTAATGTATGCAAGCTTGACTACAGTTCGCTCTACTGATCTCTATCAAAATAGCTAAATTCAAACAAAACCCAACAGACATATGCTGTGTCAAATCAAAATAGAATTCTGCCTAGCTATGCAGACTGGCCAGTATCGGTTGTCATCGAAAAATAAGACATATGAGAACTGAAGTACATCGTACGTTGGCGTAGAAAATAAATACTGTGCTGGCAATTTTTCGCTCCTTTTCAATGGTTGGTTTTTGCGGCAAACGCCGACGATACATTGGGCGAACATGTCGAAAAGAATATACTCGTCGTGACATAAGTATTAATTACCTTCTTAGCCGCTTAGTCAGTTAGGAAGCCATTAGTCTCCCTAACATCAGATAGCCCCTCTGTCTATGCTGTAACAGACGTTAATCTTACGCACCACCCAATCAGCCAGTAAAGCGCGCACTTAAAAAGCTACATTACAATTTGCCCCTGTTCGACGGAAAATGTGTAATGGCCCAGAGCGTCTGCGTTGGGTTGTTTCAAAGCTCTAACACACCAATTCTCGCTTCTTTAAAAGATAGAAGAATTTAAATTGCAAGCTCAGTACGGGTCTTTATTACTGATTACACTAGAAGAATACCGTTTGTAGCATTCTACCCTTTTAAAACTAAGTATTGTTCATTTTACGGAATTTTACCAATTGAAAAGCATTGTCTAAACAAAACGACTACGACTGTTAAAAAGAGCCAAGAGGCTGCTTTCAGTGATCATTTCGAATCATGTGTTGTCAGAACTAATGGTTAGCATGATATCTAATAACTTATGGCCAAGGACACTTCATCAAAGATACTGCAAAAATCTTTTTGTAACTACATGTAAGCTGCGTGGATTACGGAATAAGACACGTCGTGACATACGCAATGAGCCGCTTTCATTGCCAGCAAGCATAGTCAGCTTTTGCTTACAATGCATACAATTATCACCGCTAAGACCGAAACAATACATTTCATCTCTTTCTACTTTAGCTAAAGTCAGCTAGCAAGAAAAACCACCGAGTTTGTAAGCCACCGAAGAACCGATTTCAAGACCTTTATTGCCAGCTAATCCAGCGTCTAATAACCCTTCGGGGACTCATTTGTCACGGCTACCGTGTCAAAAAACGCTGACGCATCAGCTCTGTACTAATTATACATGTCCCAACGTTCCAAATTCCAATTGTTCCTACAATGAATCCTCTAAAATTTGGGCTACAGCAGACAGACAGGCAAACACTATGTCACAGGTCCGATGATGGGTCGGATCTTGGTCGGTAAAATACAGTCGTTTTCTCGATACTTTGACTGCAGTATAAAACGTTTTAATCCGAAGATCGTACTCAAAAATAGCTATGCCGTTCAGTTAGCTTGAAGGTAATTCACGCTAGGAAATGAACGAGTTGGGTTACATAAAACCTGTTTACCTAACATTACTTGTTACTGTAGATTTCCAGTGCTAATTAAATCTGGGCCTAACAGACATCTATGAAAGACACTCAGCTAGCTGGAAGGCAAAGATGGCAGATGTTGTCTTGGACATTCAGATGACTCAAATTTTGCCAACAATTCCGTCGATAGGTTATATTGCGGTATTTGACGGATCGATTTTACCGTATTCCCTGTCAAGGAAACAGATGTTGCACCGTGGACTTGATCTATACTTGCCATTTAACTCTGCTTTAGGCTTATTTTTCACGTGATTGCGTGCTCTTAATGAACTTTTATCTCATTTTTGTCTATATGTATGTTCGATTTGAGTAATAGAACAACCTTTTTGCCTTATCTAATGCAATTATCTGTTTTTATTCAAATTGTCTGGAAAATATCTGTCGTGTTCAATGGGCCAGCTTATTTTAATTAGTTGATGAAGCTCTTGCTAACAAAGCCAACTTTTGACGATTTCCAGCGTTACGAGTGGGCGGTCCTCATCCACTGCACGAACCATTTGTTTTCGTTTAGCTATTCCTTTTTTCCTACGCGCATATATTTCTTATTTATGGTGACAAAAAAATATAAGAACATCCAGAACAAATGGCAAACGATTTCATAACAAAGATATTTTGATAGATGTAATACATACGCGGGAATACCATATACTTTAGCTGCGGTACGACTCAACTTCATTTGACATTTACGCCTGCAGGCAAAAACCGCTGACACGTTCCAGATGTGCTTCGTTGGAGGAGTATTTCATGTCCTTTAGCTTCCATGGTAGACAGATCTATCTGCATGTCTCCGCTTAATATATACATACATCAGTACTATGTATTTTACTGACACTGTATTATGCAGTTTGTTACAGTATGAAATGTTTTCTGTTGTAGATTAAGTTGATGCGGAATTCTATCCAGGTCTTCCTACGGTTCATCCTACCTCGCTTTTCATTCGTCTCGATTTCAATCTTTTTTGTGCTCACTTGTTCGTTTTCTTTCTTTCTGCCTAGTTTATCTCCCACGCCCCTCGCTATGTTTCTTGTTCACCCACGAAATCCCGTTTTACCTTCTGTCGCTTTGCCTTTATTGCGATTTCTCCCGTCGCTGTCACGGGCATTGCAGCCACGAGTTAGGGGCCTGGTAGCCAAGGGATCTGTCGTCCGAGTGGATTGTGGTTATAGTGGCAACTGCGGTTAAGGCTCTGTCTTCTGCTTGGCCTGGACTTTGTTGCCTATTGACAACACGGCTTCCTTTTCCGTAGCCACCACCAGCGGAGGCAACTGTTACTACGGGCTGACTGACTGGCGTTTCCGCTCGCCAAGGAATGCGTTCCCTGGAGACCAGTAGGAAAGCGTGAGGGAGCCATGCAAGTGGCGAGGTAGCATCTCGCCAGAAGAACACCAGGCGAGAAGATTACCGCAGGAAGCAGCCGTGGCTAAAAAGAACTGCCGACCATTGAGCCTTGAACTACCAGGTCCTATGACGTTAGTAGGCATGACGGGAAAGTCCACGAAGATCAGCACTTGGGAGGTTGAGCAGCTAGCACACATGGTAGTCAGCCGTAGAGAAGCGCGCCGTGGTGCTGCGAACAGAAAAAAAGACAAGAAAACAAGGCCAGGGCAGTTTAGTTGGTGGTCAAGCGCTAGCTAGTAGGTGGCAGTAAAGGAAGATTGTCCAAAGCGGGAGGGATATGTGCGGGTACACTAAGAAAAGCCCTTGTAGGTGATCAATGAACTACACGACAGACGGGACGTACATTACTGCGGGATAAGATTACACAATGACAGACAGACAGACAGGTCGGTACTGCAAAGCGGAACAGCGAGTAAGAAATAGAGTGGACTGGATAGCCACCAAGCGCGGTTAGCGACTATCGCAACTACCGAACGAGAGCAGAATGCGAATATTCCGGTTAAGGCCTACAAGCAGAATGAGAACAAAGGGTAGAACGACATTATTGCAGAGGGACCAAGGAGCGTCAGGGCACGACAAGGAAGCGGCGTAGAAGTGGAACCTCCAGCTACGTCGATAAGTCGGTGTGTGTATGGTTATGGAAGTGGTGCTACTGATCACCGTCGTCGTTGTCCCGTCGTGGTAGTGCTGGTAGTAGTAACAGTGGGCGTTGACTTTTCCAATTCGTCGCAATTATGTCTTCATCCTCTTTTTCCCTTGACGTTCTTCCTTTTATCTATTTGAGCCTTGTCACCTTTGTTCGCAATGTTCTTCGCCAAGTCCTCGTCGTTCCTTGCCCCATTCTCTAGCATGCTTCCTTGTGTATCATACAACTACTAAATCGCTTACCAACCTTTTAGCATGTAGACAATGTCTACTAAACTGCTTCGGAGGTTCACGCCATGTCCCTCAGCCTTGCCGCAGCCTCCGCCACTGCCTGTCGGGAAAAATTTTGGTTTTTACCTGCGGCAGACTTACGAATCCTATTAGGTTTGACTGTTTGATGGTGCTTTCGGTAGCCCATGGACAGGCCGCGATCGCCGTCAGCGAAAGCACTGATAGGACCGCTGAAATAAAAGAGAATATAAATGCTAACAAGAAAGGAAGTAGAAAAACATAAACAATCCTACCAGGTAGGCAGAAATGCCTAACTGGTAATAATAATTGGTAGCATTAACACGCACAATGACTAAAATAATCGAGTAGAACAATGGGGTACATGAAACATATGTTAAACTGATATGGCATTTTAGAAGTCTAGAGTAACCGAACATTAAGTCAATAGTTTTTTTTCAATTTACTATAATTTCTAGCCGTCTTTTTTAATTAAGATGTCGTTATTGGAAGAATAAAAAGGGAATAAATAACTAGGGCTTCTTGATTATACATATACACCACTTGTGGTAGATATAAGTCTGGATAAAAATAGATTATAACAAAAAAGTCATATCTTATGCCCGGTTATAT